ATTTCTGTGTTAAAAATATTCATATTATGACAGAATAACTGGGATAAAAGTTTATAGTTTATAGTCTACGGTAGCGATCAAAATCACTTATTGAAAGTAACATGGCGCTTCAAATAACGATTGTATGGATTGCACTGTTACGCCACCAGTTGGCCACAAGGGACCGTTAAACAAATATATTTTCCATTGAATCATTCGTTCAGGAGATTAGTTTAACAACGCTGATTCATCCAGTATATAATGAAACAATGAAGTATTTATGAGTGAGTCATTGAATCATTCATTCAAACCATTTAACCCTCTGGGGACGGATTGGGCGGTACCGCCCAAAATGGCATACTTTTACAAATGTGTAATTATCTTAAAAACTATTAATGATAGAGAGGTGCGGTCTTTTTTACCGTCTTCCTCAGATTCCGCTGAAAACAGTGATACCCGGCTTGTAAATATACACACTTCCTTGTTGCGCAATACCACTTTGTAAAAGGCCAATGAAATCGATGTTGTTTGGCAGATTCCGCGAACAACAACCAATTGAAAAATTGCCGATGGAGAAATATTTTCTTACCCAATCAGAGGAAGGTTACCATGACCTTTCTAGCAAATCAGAGGACTCTGTAGCCTTGCAAGGGGTGGAACTATATAGTTAGGGATATGACGCAAACAGCGTTGAATGGAGAGAAGGAGAGAGAGCGAACGGAGGCTTACGGAGCGGATTATCAGAGATTTATATGAGAGAGAGAGAGACAGAACAATTATAATATATATAGAAATATATAAATTTACACATACATACAATTATAGCATTATTTATTGTTTTAGCACTTTTATGATGGCAAGCAGTAAGCGATTTACGGTGGAACAAGCTCTGGAACAATTACTGGAGAGTGACGAGGAGAAAGCATTGCTTAGAAAATTCTAAGCATTCCTAAGAAAAACGCCTGGGACTATTTGTAAATAAAGTTACATTTTTCATTGTTCTTTACACATTTTATTTAACAATTACACATGTCTGTCAAGCAAAGGCTTTGACAAATATATTTTTTGTTCAAAAACTGTTCACTATTGTTGTGTGATGTGTGATTTTCAGAAATAAATGAGAAAAATCTAATTTCCGTTTTTGAAATTCTCTAGTTTATAGTACATTTTTTTTACTCATACTTCCTTTATAAACACATTACATGCATGCTTATGTTATCTTAGGGTCTTCTGAATCCATAGATACCAAACACATAGTGATCCATCTCCATTACATATGGTTTATAAGCCCAAATGTAAAAATAGAGAAAACGGACCAAAAAGGGCTTAGTCCCCAGAGGGTTAAAAAAAAAAAATCTGTATTTATATTCATTAAACATCTTAAATAGACTGCGGCAGTTATCATTTTGTCAGAACCTCTAGTAAATTACACGCTATTTTGTTTAGTTGTCTGTTCAGAATCGTGATTAGGTTTGAAACCAAAAAATCGTGATTCTCAAATTCACCCAGAATCGTTCTGCTCTACTGTGTGGAAGAGTGTGTGTACAGCGACTTTAAAGGTTGTAAAACTCAATACCTGAAAGAATTTGAATGTAAGCCCATCTTGATGACAACTGAGTGTGTATTGGAGCTCTTAAGCTCAGTCTAAATATCCCCGAGAGGATCGCATCTACAATAAACTTAGTGTGCCGTCACGCTACACACAGTAGGGGGCAGTTTCAATGAATGAGGTATACAATACGGCATGAAATCTAAATCTTTTATTCCCCCCTCAATTTTTGAATGCTAATAATAATTGACATAATTGTAGTGATAATGAGTTAAGTGCCAAAGTTTTGTCCAGTAGAATATTAAGCATGTGAAGTTGCTTCCTAATAATAATAATAAGCACTATTTGAATCCTTACAATGACAAAACAATGATTTTCATAATGATTTTGACTCTGGCTGTGTGTTTAGAACAACGATATGTGACTAAAATGAGTAGCATTGCCAGATATGATGACGCATGATGCTGTCTACTGTGATCAACAGCTGATTATGACACATTCATTAGTTCGGCATATGCTCTCAGATTGGTGAAAATGAGTTGTAATTATAGGAGCTGGAGGAAATGCAGCGTGCTAAAATTAGATATTTATTCTCCTAATTCTATAATGATTTCCATAAGAGAATATAGCAAGCCTAGCTCAACCCACTGCATTCAAATGTACAAAGAAGTGATGCTTGCGTTATGATGGATATTTCATATCTCTGAAGCACTGCGTGTTCAGTTCATTTCAGCGGTAATAAAGCACACTGGTGGCCACAGCCCTCAGCGTTTAGTTTGTGACTGTTGCCGTGAGCTAATGCATGATGGAGGTTTAATTGTATGTGTTTCTGTGTAACCATGTCCTCTCTGCTGTGCCGGCAGATGCTGCTGCCCGAGGGGATCAGAAGAGAGAATAATAAGATGTATGAGGAGGTTCAGATCCCCCCCAACGATCCCATGCCCATCGGGTTTGAGGAGAAGCCCGTGTTCATCTCGGAGCTGGACGAGGTCAGTGGTGCTTTATTTACAGCTGTTGACATTTATTAGTGCTTGTGTTCACACTCCATGAGCTCTTCACAACTAATAATTTCTCCTCTTCATATTGACTGATGACATTGTGCCTAAAATCTCCTCCAAATGGTGTCGGATGCAGCATGCGAGTTATGTTTGTGTTTTGTTTACGATCCCGACAATTGGCAACCTTTCGTTCTCTCTCTTGAAACCAACATGGAAGTGACTTAAACTGCACTTCCTCCACTGGCCACTGGAGACAGGCTCCATAAGAGAGTCAATCCCATAAACCCCCGTGTTAAAATGCCCAACTTTACAGCAGAAAAAAACATGTTTACAGCCTGGTACAAAAAGTGGTTTTGGTCTATAATGCTAATTTTGCCCTTCATGACGACTGTGAGGCGGGTGAATTGTTTAATAACTCATCCGTTTACATTATATTAAGCCTTAAAGTTCTGCATAATTAAGGGCGTGGCCACTTGAGTGACAGGTGGATTGCCGCTGATGTCACTGCTAGCCGTTTGTCTGCTGTGTGTTAGCGTCACGTCACCTCAGCTAATCCCAGACGCTGCACATTTACAGTTATCCGGGAGTGACGCGCGACCAAGATGGCGACGGCCGGCTCCGCCCACTTTAGGCTTCAAAAATGCTCAGACCGTTTAATAAGAAGATACTTTATAAAGACAGTACACTTCGCGTACACAGGCAGGAGCCATCTTGGAAAACAGTCTCGACTAGTCAAACCACGAACGCCGTGCTAAGTGAGCTGAACTGTGACTTGTAATCTCATATGAAAGTATGGGACCCTTGTAGTTAGTCTCCCATATATTTTAATAAACAGATAAAATTCATGCATTTCCATGTAATTAGATTTCACAAACGTAATTCTGATCGACCAGCTCACTTAGCTCGGCGTTCGTGGTTCGACTGGTCGAGACTGTTTTCCAAGATGGCTCCTGCCTGTATAAGTGTACTGTCTTTATAAAGTATCTTCTTATTAAACTGTCTGTACACTTACAAAGTTCTCAATGCTTCGGTTTGCATGTAGGGACCCTCATTATGCTAGCGTGTTAGTGTGGGGCTATTTTGAGCCTTGTTAGTGGTATTAACTAGCGATTTCTTTTTACTTATTCTATGCCCTATTCACTAGCGTTATAAGCTGGATACATACCAACGCAAAACACCTTGCACTGGTGGACAATATACCAGTTACAGGGTTCCTATGCAGTTTGGAAAAGTGTGGAATTTGATTTTGAGTTATATCCAGGTTTGGAATTGTACGGAAAAAGAAATCAGAGTACGGAAAGATAGTTGTTTTTCTTCCAGACTATTCCCCTGTTCAGTTTTCTAAAATATAAAATTAAGAATTTCTAAAAAATAAATAAAAGTATCACACAGGCTGGATTAAAAATGTAAATGTCTCAATTTTAATCTATTCATATTTTAATAATAATAATAATAATAATAATAATACATTTTATTTATTTGGGGCCTTTCTGGACACTCAAGGTCGCCTAATTTTAATGAACCAATATCAATTCTTAAATCCCAAGAATCAATATTTCAGTCTATGCTGTTTTCAGTTGATGAATAAACAAACCTTTGTTGCGTGATCATGCGACATCAAACCACATTTACAGTAGTCGTTTCAGATGTGAATATATGCAGGTTATAAAGCTTTTTAGGTTTCTTCTCATCATGCAAACGCATGTTATCACTTTGAGAAAACCAATGAAAAACAGAGAAAATAAAAATATTTACAGATGATTTTTACCGAAAATAATGCTGTGTGAACCATTTATGTTTAATATGGTCTGAAAAATCATTTGGAATGAGGTCTGGAAATTTGAGTCTGGAAAAGTATGGAATTTTGAAATTGAAATCGTGTAGAAACCCTGCAGTTAAAATGATATACCAGTACAAAAAGGGCCCTATGAAATCTTTTTTTAGTTTTCTTAAATGCAGTTTTTATGTAAGCTTGTTTCCGCCACTGAATACAAATAAATAAATAATTGCAACTTTTTATCTCACAATTGCAAGATATGAAGTCAGAATTGTGAGAAATAAAGTCGCAATTGCGAGATATAAAGTCGCAATTCTGAGAAATAAAGTCGCAATTCTGAGAAATAAAGTCACAATTCTGAGAAATAAAGTCGCAATTCTGAGAAATAAAGCCGCAATTGCGAGAAAAAAAGACATAATTGCGACTTTTTATCTCACAATTCTGACTTTTTTTTCTTACAATTGCGAGTTTACATCTCGCAATTCTGACTTTATAACACATAATTGCGAGTTTATATCTCGAAATTCTGACATCTTTTCTCAGAATCGTGAGATATAAACTCGCAATTGCGAGTTATCAGGCCAATTCTAAGGGGGGAAAAAGACTAACTTTTTCCCCCTCAGAATAGTTTATATCACACAATTCTGACTTTATAACACGCAATTGCGACTATATCAATCAATTCTGACTTTATATCACGCAATTGCGACTTTATTTCACGCAATTCTGACTTTATAACACGCAATTGCAACTATATCAATCAATTCTGACTTTATATCACGCAATTGCGACTATATCAATCAATTCTGACTTTATAACACGCAATTGCGACTATATCAATCAATTCTGACTTTATATCACGCAATTGCGACTATATCAATCAATTCTGACTTTATATCACGCAATTGCGACTATATCAATCAATTCTGACTTTATATCACGCAATTGCGACTTTATTTCACGCAATTCTGACTTTATAACACGCAATTGCGACTATATCAATCAGTTCTGACTTTATATCACGCAATTGGGACTTTATTTCACGCAATTCTGACTTTATAACACGCAATTGTGACTTTATATCACGCAATTGCGATTTTATATCACGCAATTGCGACTTTATAACACGCAATTGCGACTTTATTTCACGCAATTCTGACTTTATATCACGCAATTCTGACTTTATTTCACGCAATTCTGACTTTATAACACGCGATTGCGACTTTATATCACGCAATTCTGACTTTATAACACGCAATTCTGAGAAATAAAGTCAGAATTGCGAGATGTAAACGCAATTGTGAGAAAAATAGTCAGAATTGTGAGATAAAAACATTTTTTATTTTTTTATTTTTCATTCTGTGGCGGAAACAAGCTTCCATAAGTTTTAATTATTCTGAATTCCATATTTTTTTCTCCCATTGCAATGATATAATTTTAGTCTAATTAAAAGCATGTCTAATTAATTTAAATAAAGAAATGTATACAATTTAACATCAATTAACACAAGTTACATTTTGAATTCATATTCATACAGACATTTATGTCATGCATGTCTTGACGTCCATATTTAAAACCAAGTGTGACTCAACCATGCTTTTTTCATTGGCTTGACACCAAAGTACCAGAGCTTTTGACATCTCTACTGAAGACATAATGTGTCCATCCAAACCCGATAGACTTTTGAATACCTCTTTTCACCAACAGAAGTCCAAAGCAAAGAGGCTCACAAAAACTCACTTTAGCAAATAGGCTAGGCTTGATTTTGACAGGAAAGTGCACAACAACCTCCTCGCCGAACTAGAGGACACGCTGGCCGTGGCTTAGACTTTACTGTGGGTCTCCTTTAATTACAGTCATCAGTGTGTCAATCATAATGACAGCCGTGTGGTCATGCTTGAGCTGCGAGGTGTGTTCAGATTCACAAGATCGGCAAGGGTGACTCGCTGATTGGCCAAGTCTTGAGTTTAAGTAGATTGATTAGTCATGCCTGCTGAGTTGTTTTGTGTCTTCTTTATTATTGTGTGAGGCTCAGCTGTTAATTGGTTTTAATTCATCAGTCAGTAATAATAATAATAGTAATAGTTTTTTTCTCTTATAATGCGACTCAAGGTTTATTGAACCAAATACAGTCAGAAAAAGATGTTTATATGCAGTGTTGTGTGTAGCTCATTACAAGTAACTTTGGTTACGTAATCAGATTACTTTTTAAAGTAACTAGTAAAGTAACGCATTACTTTTTAAAAAATAAGTTACTTTGTTTTCCCATTTATTGACTGACAGCTCTCCTGTCCCCATGTTGAGAGAAATCGAAGTGCAGAGGCGTTGTGTGTGAAGATGATGGTTATCCTCCAGCTGGGGACCGTTACAGATACGTTGGGAGAAATTGGGTTAAATTTGGGTTGTTTTGCAACTTAACTGCTGGGTCAAACATGGACACCTAGCACGTTGGGTTGTTCTTTTAATTAAAAATAAATAAATAAAAAATAATTTCTTTATGAACAGCTCAACATCTTGCCCTATATTATATTATATTATATTATTAATGCTATCACCTGTGTCCATAAAGAGTTGCATCCCACTTTGCAAATTGTGCCTGATGAAGACCTCATTGGTCAAAACGTTGTGCTGTTCATAAATGCATATATATGTATTGTATGGAGCTGTAACTTCAATGCAGACATTATTTTTTCTTCTCATATATATCGTTATCTGTTTTGTCCTGCACCTGAGCCCAACCACTGTGCAATCAGCCATTCACTGTTCTCCCTTTTCCACCAAAATGGCGCTGGTTCTCGTGCTGCTGTGTTGCTGAAATCTGAGCTGATGTTTGGTGGGGAAATTGCAAACATCAGACCACAGAAAACACAACTAACATCCAAAGTAATTAGATTTAGTATTATAACGAATAAAATCAGTTTATTTTATGCAAAGGCAAGCAGCATTTCCATCATGCAAAAATGCTGACTGACATCTCATCCCTGTATGTTGCATTGTGTAAAATAAATGAATTTAGTGTACATTAAAGATTATACATAAAAATAAAATATGTACAATCCTTTATTTCACTGAAGAAATGCATTCATTTGGTGATGCTCTCCTGAAGAGGATGCAAAAGTCCTGCGCTCTGTGTAACCCAAGAGCTGGGCTGCAGTAACGCCTCCACTGGGTTGTTGTGATGTGGAGGGGTGTTTTGTTTAAAAGTTCCCCTTTT